CTGAGCAGATGGGAGGGGGGTGCCACAATATTTTGTTGTCAAAGGCAACATCCCCAATAAAGACCTGCCTAATTTGCTAGCCACCACATTCTGGCAAGATTTTTATGTTCATTTCAAGGCAAAGCAGCCTATGAGATGTTTAACATATTTTTTTAAAAAAATAAAAAAAAATCCACTCTGACCTTGTTACAATAGCCCTGACATCTTTAACATTCTCTGTATGGTTCTTCTGACCCCGACTCAGTAGCAGGTAAATTACATCAAATCCAGCTTCACAAAATTGTTACCTGTTTGTGTAATCTTCCAGGTGTGGCCATCAATGTAATTGATGCTTTTGACTGCTAGAGGGCGCTCCGGGATTTTACAAACTGACCATCTCCAGATCCTGGCTTCAAAGAGTTTTTTTCAGGGCCTCCTTCAAACGTAACTTGTTCAAGTGGAGCTGCTCAGATCAGGACCTTGAAGTAGCATAGCCATATATCAACCAAAACGTTTGGGAACAAGTAGATACGTGGCTTATGCCAGCTGAGTGAAGACTTTCCCTTGCTTTGTCTTGATGGATAGCAAAGATACGACTCAAGAGACAACCAGAACTTCTGGGTTCCTGCTCAGCTCTGGGGTAATTGTGCCTTGGAGAAAGGGAGCAGTTCTGAAAAAAATAATTCTTGCTCTATTTTAATTATAAGGTTTAATCCCAGCTGCTGCTGCTCATGCTTTGAAATAGATAACTAAAGAAAGTAGTTGCTGGGATTGTCATGAGTAGCCATACTAAGGCACGGATCCTTGGCCACGCCTCCTTCTCCCACCTCCGTTCATTTGCATCCAGCGTTCCTCCTCGGTTGGCCCTCCCCCGCCCATTCTCCCTGGCCAATGGGGCCGTTGCCCCGCCCTCCCCCTGTGCTCTTCGGCCAGGCCCGGCCCGGCTCTTTGGCTGCACGGGACAGATAGCCGCCAGCCAATCAGATGGTGCTGCAAGGTCAGCCTGCGATGGGCAATGATTTTTTTTAAGTGCTGCGGCTGCACCGCAAGTTTTGGGGCCTGGCCGCTGTCACCAAGACGCCTCAAGGGGGCTCCACAAAGACATTTTTGCTGGCAACTCAAACGGAGGGGAGGAGGAGAAGCAAGGCCAGCACGGATTCTGGCGTTGCGGGGTGGGAGTGGGGAATTGTGTTCTTTAAGGTCTTTGAAATGCCAAATATTTAATATGAGTGTTCTTAAGCACGCAAAGTTGTTCTATGGATCTATGGTCTACTTTATTCTGCTCATTTATGCTTATAGAGTGTACATTGCATTTGCAGTTTTGGCAGGAAAGAGATCCGACCTTTTCAGGATTACCAAATAGAGCAAATAGATTCCTAAATCCGTATTAGCAATCAGACACATTGGCAATTGTATTAGATCAGGTTTTTCCAACCTTGGTAATTTTTAAGATGTGTGGATTTCAATTCATGCTGGCTGGGAAATTCTGTGACTTGCAAATCACATATCTTAAAAGTTGCCAAATTTGAAAGACATTGTCTTGGATGAAATGATGCAATGGCCAAGAAATATCTTAGTTTTTGGAGTACCTTTGTAGAAGACCAGTCCAAAATGGCATTCAGCTAGACTTTTAAAGCACTAAAGCTGGTATTCTATTGGTTGCAGTCTTAGCATTAATGCATTTTAATCTATTATCTATTTATATCTATCATGTCTGTCTGTCTGTCTGTCTTTCTATCTCTATATCATCATTTAGCTATCATCTGTCTATATCCATGTAATCATAAAATAATCTGTTTGGGTCATGAATCTATCTTAAATGCACAATTAAAATACAGGGCATCAGTGCAGCTTATATTTGTTACCCATAAATTGGATATTTGCTTTTGGGGTATATTTATCACATGTGAAATGACTTCAAGATAACTAAAAGTTACACTTTACAAAACAACAGAAAAATGTGTGTGGTGAGAGAGCTCTCTTGAAATTCTTTAAAAATCCCCAAAGAACCATTTTGGTAATTAAGCAAAGAAAAAAACCTCAATTCTTTTCAGAGCAACAAAAATAAAAGCTTTTATTCGTTCATTTGAATATAAAACAGGCGTTATCACAGATGTACAAAGCGTACTGGTGTTTTAACATACAAGAAGGTTGCTGTTTGCACATAAAAATTTTTTTTTGGAACTGTGATTGGCTGAGTTACATGGATGTCTCTAACCAGTCACCACACTCTATGAAATAACGCTGCTAACATTCAATTGATAAAAGGGACAGTCTCCCCTTGGGTAAAGTGTCAAGCAGGATTAAATATATATAATAAACGAGCACCATGAAGAATCTGCTCCTGTTGCTTAGTTTTGTGTTTCAATGTTCACTGTGAACCCTCCTCCTTCATTTGTTTGTTCGGGGTTATTTTTTCTCTTTCTTTTCAGGTGTGCATCAGGTTGATTACATGATTTTGTCTGACTTCAAAAGCACAAGGTCACAAGACAACAGTTTATACATTCTCATGAATGGTTTATCTACAGTACAATTTCTAATACAGAGCAATCTTTCCTTATTGCTGAATCTGATGGTTACATGTGTTTTTTTTCCTCTTCACTTGCATGACAAAACTAGGATATTCAGTTTACATTTACAGTCCTAATTTTTAAGAGTTGAAACGACCCGCAGGTTGCTGAAGCGATCAATGATTAACGGTGCTGTACGACTGCATTGCAGTCCTTCACACTTCCCCAGGAATGCAAAGTTGTCTTAGTGAAGGTTAAAAGAGAGGCCGTCGCAAAGCGACAGCTGGATTTGTGTCAGCAGTAGCAGCGATGTCACGTTAATTCTTACACGGCAATTAGGCTCATGATCAAGTCGTGAGAACTTTGTAGCAACTTGACATTCTACAAACAGATTGTATTTTTGATGGCCCCACACAGAACAATGTGGCAGAACTCTTCCCTATCCAGTGGTCTTTGGAACATGAGAAATATTCACAGGTGCAAAGAAAATCTGGAAAAAAATTCATCTGAAACTTAAAATGCAAAAAAAGAGGTTGCAGTCATGAGATGCTCTGTATTGTACACGCAGGCTACAAACCATTCCTTATCTTTAAGTACTCCCATCTATTAAAGAAAAAAAAAACAGGATTGACTGGAACCAAATGAAACCTGCAAAGGTAGATCAAAATAATTCCATTCTATATGAGATATAAAGATCCCGTGATGCTTATCCTACAACTCTCTTATGCATGCAAATTTCAATGGGATGTTAAGCAATTATTCCGAACCTGTAAAAAAAAACATATTAAAAGAAGGTGTTCTTGCTTCTGGTTAATCTTCTTCTTCTCATCAAACATTGGTTGACCTGGGGATTACTAAAGGAAAATGAAATCAGCAAAGAAGACAAGGAGGAAACCAGAAATAGAAGAGGCGGTAGATTTACCTGAAGAGATTTAAAAATGGCAAAAATCAGAGCAAGAGGGAAGGGAGGAGGGAAAGGCAAGGGTGTATATGTGATTTTGTTCCCTTCGCTCCTTACTCTATTGGCAGATGGAAGGATTGCATCACAACATTTGAATTTCAGTCCCTCAGTGTGACAAACGTTAGCGGATGCACTGAGCTAGGCCAAATCATTTAGAGAGGGTTTCTGGTTATTGTCCAATAACAAATAAGATACTTTTTCAAAGCAACAACTTTCTACAAAGTGTTCAATAGATGGATCAGCACTCTCTCTCCTTGCCCAAATTAAACCAGACAGCAGAGAGACTCTTTTTTTTTCTTTTTTTCTTTTTACAAAAAGCCTTATGCAAAATAACCATCAAAAAGCTAACAAAAATTGTCTTTACCACAAGAAAATAAATCACTAAAAAGTATTAACAAAAACAAAAGATGAACTTGAAAAGAAAAAAGATGGCAATTAGTGTGCAACAATATTATGCAGCTAAGGAAAAACAGTGCTATATTTCAGACCTGCCTTTTCTAACATCTAAGAAGTGTATGAACATACATGCCAACATTTATGGTCACCTCGAAGGTAAATAAAAGTATTCTTTGCAGTACACTGTTCAGGTCTTTGGCCACAAGTCAATCTGCTCTGGGAAGAGTCATAATAAGCAGGTTCTGTCCTGGATTTAGATGTCCTGCCAGGGTCAGCCTGTCGCTTCGGCTCTTACCCGACAGAACTGCCAAGACTTCAGGCCCTTCCAATTCAGGCATCCCTCTTGAGGACTGCAGCACCATCGGAGGAAAAGGATGATGGAGAAGAAAGCAGGGCCCTTGTGGGCAGCTAAAGCAAGTTTGGGGGAACAGCCAGCTGGGGGAATTGGGCGGGCAGGGGACCCTCACCCCAGGCTCCTAAAGGGACTGCTTCCCCTCCTGCCCCTCGGTATGAGCAAGACAACAAGATTGCGACCTTAAAATCAACTCATTGCCTTGCAAGCAGCAGCAAGTTTGTATCTGCTGGTATATGGAAGATTCTTTTAGGTGGGGACACTGAGCAATCGAGAACTGCTTTTTTCCCCCTAAACGTTTGCGAATAATGTTCATTATCTACAGTGGGAAAAGAGACACCATGCAAGTGATGAGTACTGCATCCTTTTAAAACTTTAAACTCTTTTTTTTGTCATTAGTGAATTTATATTTCATATATATATATTTTTGATGTGATACTATCCACTCAAGATAATACAACCTTTTGTTTTTATATTAGCAAACATTGCAAGAGTTTAATATTCTTGAATGTTTCTCTTTTATACTTCTAAAGAGATCAAAATAAATTAAAGGTTTTGTACATAATTACAGAAGTAGTTAACTTATTTTATCTTTTTAGTTTAGTACAAAGATATCTGCAAGTTCATTGCCGAAATTCACCTTATTTATAAAGATCTGTTCATTCTAACACTAATAATCAAAGGCTCTTTTTACCTCTGAACTTCAGCATTTCCAGGAGAGAAAGCTGTTAAAAACTCTAATTTGAGAAGGTGCTGTTCTGAGTATTTTTCTCGTACCTCAATGTAGCTTCCTAGGTGGATGGAATAGAAAATGGCTTAAAATTAGTAATGGATCCATAGTGAGAAAACTTTGTTTTTATACAGACATTTTAAAAAAGAAGCAAACCAAAACAATTCAATCATATCATGAGCTGTTCAAAAATATCCGTGTGTGGGTGAATGGCTAGGTGGGGGAAGATTTAAAAAAAATAGCTAGTTCAGTTTAACGTAAGATACAAAGCCTATTACTTAGAAAGCAGTATTCATCCCAATAAGCAAAAAATAATCTTATTTTAAAAAGTCTAGTAATGGGCTTTCCAACAAACTGAAGGCAGTACCCCAAAGTCCTTCTGTGCTAAAATGTAGTGGTAAAAGAAACACATTTCACATTTTTTATGTCCTGCCAATAATGGGTGCTTCAATAAGTCTAAGAGAAATAGTTCCGTTCTGAAGACCGTTACTTGTACATTGTTTAGTGTACATAAAAAAGTGTTTTATACATTAGAGTCCAGTCCATGGGAAACCTTAAAGATATAAGATTACATATTATAGGCCACATAGATCGGATCTAACTGGTCTGCCAAAAATCCATCTCGTAGGTGCATTCGCTGCTTCTCTCCACGGGAGTTGATAGGGATGACTCCAACGTCCACCACCACCACAACCCCAACAATCAGATAGTGTTCCTCCAGGACCACGTTGGTGACCAAGGGAACCAGGTCTAAGGCTTCTTGCTCTGATCCATCCAGTTCAACGACAACGACCAACAAATTTGTCCAGGTAAACACCGCGCTGGAAGGTGATGAGGAAAATTACATCAATACACTCCATGCACGGGAAAGAGGAGAGAGAGCCAACATAATTACTGCACTACTTTGAAAGGAAAATGTCTACATCAACTTTGAAATGGACCTGTTTTTATAGAGGGGCAGAGAAGAGGATTTTCAATCAGTTTGGTTAAATTTCCTGGAGCTATTCAATGTCATCCATTTCTGGGCAACATACATATATATTTAACTATTGCTTGCCCTTTAAAAAAATTAATGTCATAGTAGACAATGTTTATATTTGTGATTCTATTAACTTATTTGGTCTGATAAACTGTTTTCCATCTTTCACTAATAAAGAAAAAGAAAAAAAAAGCAACATAGAGATTGAATTCACCAGTTCATGTTAAAATGTAAACCAATTTGTTTAATCTGTAATGCAGAGCTCATGGTGGCTATTTTCTTTAATGGAATTGTCCCTAACTGCCTCTTTGGGGAAAATATGCAAGTCTTAAATACAAATAAAAAATAAATATATTCCTGGTTCCTGAAACTTTGATGTGCTGTTTAAATCACCAATCCTGTGGGTGTTTTCTAGTCTTCTGAATAACCCAAATGACTCTTTGGTATACTCATCATTGAGTAACACACCTATTTCATTCATTCAATGAATAACATGGCTGCCCAACTTACAAATGTGACTTTGGGCAGCTACCATAAAACAAGAATGTCAAGCAAAAAAACCCTAAACATGTATCATGCTGAAGACAGCTTTGTCTATGCTGGCTCAATGTCTTGAGGGAAAATTCAGGTGTTTAGTGCCTTATGAACTTATAGTCAGGGCCATCTAGTGACAGTATCTTACTCCCAGGTAAGCCACAAAGATCTGTGTCTTTGGTCCCACTAGGTGACACTGCTTAACAGAGAGGACCCCAGACATGGCCACTCTATTTGATCTTGTGGAATGGGCCAAAATAGTAAGAAATAGATGATAGAATAGCTTGTCCCTGTGTCATGTCATGCAAGGCTTTGCAAACAATAACCAGCAGCTCTAATGGCACCTACTGAAAGCCAAGGTAGCTAATGAAACAGGGTGTAGCATGGGCATACCTTGAATCTTTGAATTAGATCAGTGTTTCTCAACCTGAGCAATTTAAGGTGTGCGTACTTCAACTCCCAGAATTCTCTAGACAGTATGCTGGCTGGGGAATTCTAGGAACTGAAATTCACATATTTTAAAGTTGCTTCGGTTGAGAAACACTGAATTAAACAAAGGGGCCAAAAGAACTGTGGTTATTTTACCATAGCCATAGCTATTAAAAGACCCTGAGGTCTCAGCACCTCATTCTTTTGCAGATAGTCTTAGATTCCTGTGCTTA